GGAAAAGCATCGAAATTAGTTTTTAGTTCATCACTAACTATCGTAGCTCGCATCAAACTTCTCAGAAAGTTTGAAGATTCCAATTTCTCGAGTTTTCTACGCTTCTGTGCTTGTAAATAAATCAAATCATAGCTACAATAGAAAAAAAAGCTGATCAAAATAAAAACCCAATTGTGAGCTTTTGACTTGCGAAACAAATTAGAAGCTCAGTGAATTATTACTCTGTGAGAAACTTATAATATGAAATTTAAAAAAAAAATAACGTTCTATAATCATTCTTCTTTTTTTTATAAATTAGGTTAGGAGTAAAATAACATACGATTTCAGCAATATTGAGTTGACCAGTTGGTGTTAATAAATAGCCATAATCTAGTCGTTCGACCATGTCTAATATTTATAGGACTTCTGTTTTTTTTACTTTTTCTATTTTAGTATTATGATAATACATTTCATTACCTTTCACTTAGTTGATAATAAAATAGACAGAAAGAAAGTAAGTCAAGAGATACATATAGATATGAATGAAAGAAATTAGCAACCAGAATAAGCGGTACGCCTCTTCATATTCTATTTTTATACAACGATCAATACACGAGCGATATATCTCTTTCTCTCTTCTCGCTAGTATATTACTATTATTTCATTCGAGGATGATGGATCAATGTTATTCTGTTATATATTTATTATAATGACTGAGAATTCTTTTTAACGTGCAAACTATTGATGAAAATAGTCATATATAGACCACTTGTATATGACACTAAATAGTTTCTCTACATATATGAATTCTTCATGACATATATTAAAGAAGTATAGTTATCGATGGATGATTTCTTGTTGATGTTTGCCGTAATTTTTTATTTTAACATATTAGCACGTATATCTTAACTTGAATAGACATTTTTTTTATCGAGAAGAAATTTCGAGTTTTTAATTCAGACAAAAATACATCAAAGTAAAGTTCTGATCAAATCATTATGTATGAAATACTATTTGTCTATGCTTTATATCTTAAACAATCTTTCGATAAATCTTACATAGTACTGGTCATTCAAATACTTAGACATAGATCAAGTTTATTCGTTTCTTCTTATTGATCAAAGGATATACACATGTATTTATGTTTGTTCTAATATAGTCTTAGTCTCATATTGTTTTGTCTATTTTTTGTTACCTAATTCTATTATTATTAAAATAATATTACTAATGAGTGATCAATTGAAAATGATTTTCTATAGTCTTGTTGTAGCAAAAACTTTACTAAAAATAAAGAAACAAATGAATTATGAGTAATTATTAGAATAATTAAATCGAAGTTTTCGTTACAAGCATTACACACTGATCGTATATTGTTCATAAACAATGAGATTTGTTTTTGTTTATCTCATATATCATTGATGATTATCTGAACAAACTTCAATCATAATAGTTGTTTTCGTTAACATAACCCAAATTATCTTTATAATAAGTCGTAACTTCTTTGATCAAAAAAGATTCAGAACATATAGAAATTCTTAGGAATAATTTGAATAGATAATAATGTTATTCTGTTATTTAGACTGAAGACAACGAAGCATTCAGTAACTTTCACATTTGAACAAATTTATGACAATGAAAAATGAGAAGATAAGTAATGTAAAGTTCAAAATTAGATTTTAAATTGTTTTGTTCCATGATAGAAAATATCATAGATGACTTCATTAATGTCTATAGAAGTAAAAAGACCGTAGAATGATGGTAATATACCCTATTAGTAATATTACAAAGGTGTATCTTGAGTCATATGACTAATTGATATTCTGAGTCATTCTACTTTGACATCAAGGTCAATAAGGACAGAACATATTTTCAGAAGCAAGCATGGTGTTGCTTTGTTTACAAAAAAAAAGCAAACATTAATACATTAATCATAATAACTTTTCTGATTTTTTTGTGAATAATTTCGATTCCTTCAAAATATAACAAAAATAAAATTGAATAATGGTTCGTACGCATATGTATGTGAGCACTCTGACAACACTTAAGAGATAGCTTTTCACAATGTCGATCTTTAAAATAAAAGGATTTTCGTGTTTAGGCGATTCTCTTCGAAACATTAATAATATCACTTTGGCATGTTACAAAACTTGCCAAGTTTTTTGGACTGCACTTTTTACTAGATTCTATTCTACAACATTGCTGTAATCAGTAATGATATCATAAAACAAAATGAAGTATGTAGTCAAATTTAATTTATAATTACGTCTTATATATATGCTATGATAGCCTTATCGAAATTTTATAATTTAGACATTGTTTTTATGTATTAATTAACTTTTCATTTAATACAGGCAGTTGCTTTACATAAAATCATATGAAGTGTTTTTTTTCATTGTTTTATCAGATCTAGTCTATTATTGCCATGGTTTCATAGACAAAACAGTTGTCATCAGTTGTAGAGAAACCTCATACATAGAATAGGATCTTGAAAATGTAGCTTGCAGTTCAATTTTATTACTGAAGATCATATATAGTTCTATGGTAGTTTTGAACGAATAGATGTTGGATCGAGATTAACTAGTCAAATAAATTGTTGTATAACAATCGTGAATATTTACCAAAGATTATTCGGTTCTAATTAATACAGTGTCATCAACGAAAACTTTATCGTCTATTATGAACATATTGTCTATATATGACATTACTCAAGAGAGCATTTAAATTCCAACTATAAAATGATTACCTAGGTAATAGGCTGATTTTAAAGTTTCATTTATTAATAAACTACAACTGGAACTATTACTTTTCTCTAAAATCTCATTTAAACATCAATAAGTAGAATCTTATCGATATCAAAATGATTGTATCCTGAGATGCATTATAGATCATAAAATTTGCAAAAATATGAGAATGTTTATTTAATCTTCAATATCCTTGAAAAGAAAAAAAAATATTCACAAAATATACTCTTCAGTATATTTTCTTACTTGAATTTTTTAAGGTCTTACTAAAAAAATGCTATGACCCACTCTGAGCATCGTTTTATTAGGCACTTATACCAGTTAATAGAACTTGAAAACGAATGCAACGACAACAGTTGTTTCAAATAGATAATATGTATTTATATATATTACGAGAGAACAGTGTAAAAGAAATTCACCCTTCTCTCCGACTAGAAAACACATACAAATACGATGGTAAACGATGATATACGAAAATTTACTTGAATCGTAAACAGCAGAAGTAGGGTGCAAATGCTGCGGCAATACGACCATTGACGATAATCAAATCTTGGCTATAACTACGCCATATAGGATACAGTGTAAACATGGTCGTAAATTAAAGATCAGGTTTACGACTAAATACGACATGTAAAAGACCCATATACGAACACTGTCATAAAGTGTCTGCCATGGAATAAATAATATTTACTAAATAATTTTTATTGTCGAATATTATTATTTGTTGTTGTTAAAACATTCTTGTCGTTTGTGATTATCTTTTTAAAATTAACAGTTATTTGAAAATATTACACAGTTGCTATTTATTTTATTCGATGAATAATAAATGAGAATATTCCATTTTGTAAGAGATGAGTAACGAGCACGTAATATAAGAACATTGATGATATTGACATGATTAAGCTTTCATTATGACATATCAATCATTTTGCGTATTTTCTTCACATGTAACACATATTTACTACATGAAGTCCAGAAAAAAAAATCCTTGAATTTTACTTCATAAAATAATTGAATATAATTAAGAGATACAAATGTACTTCACAATCAAAAGACAAGACCGTTGAGCGTAGACATACTAATCAAATCAACAGAAATGAAAGAACAAAAACCTTGAAGCCTGTATTTTTCCTATGAGTCACTATTGACTCGATATGTATACATTAGTTACGGCTGAGAAAGTTTTGCGTTTTTTTCCATATCTTTCGGGTTTTCTCCCATCACCTTCTTTTTCTCCTCCACAATATTCCCATAATTACAACACTAGAAAAATCGTATATAAATAGGTATCATAAAATCACTCTATATGCATCGATTACAAGAGAAATATAAGTATTATTATATACAAATACATGTAAGTTATTTTTGTTTAGTTCTGCATAGATCGTCTGATCATTTCATTTAACAGTAAGTTTTTCTTTTCCATTAGAAAAAAAAATTTTCTTTTATTCACTATGAATGGAGAGAAACGAATAATTTCTCTTCTCATTCACGAGAAATATGTATGAGCACGATGGTAAACGGTGGTACTATACACTTCGAGACTTAGTAGTTGTAGATGATAATACTACGACTACATCGAATCATCAGAAATATGATTTAATTAATCGGGAATTTGCCTGAAAATCGGAGAAAATCGCTAGTTTAGACACTTTAATAATGCAACATAAACATGACCTAAATAGTTACAGTACATAAATTCAATCAAAGGAATAATAAAACTTCCAATAACTGTCCATAGATGTAGCATTTTCACCCAATGGTTTACAAATGTTTCTCAATCCTATTTTACTTTCTAGATATTCTAATCAATTGTTATTCAGACAATGATACTCTTTCTTATTGGGTTACTTTTCGTGAGCACCTGTCAATCACACATAATCCGACAGAGAGCAACTTGCTCATGGCCTGGACACTGTGCTGGTGATTCATGTAGAACTGAAAATGACTGTGATGGATCTATGATCTGTATAAGTGGAAAATGTGGCACATCTGGCGGTACAGGATGCAACCAACCGTGTACCTGGATAGGACATTGTTGTGGGGATTCATGTAGAACTGAAAATGATTGTGATGGATCGTTAGTTTGCGTTAACGGAAAATGTGGTACTGGGTCTTCTGGTGATACTACTGCTCGTACTACTGTTCGCACTACTAGTGGTACTTCTGGAACCTGTTCACCTTCAGGTGTATTGCGAGGCACAAGGTAATCTTTTTATATAGCTCTTTCGCATATTATATATTTGTTTTTTTCCTAGTACTAACTGCAACACAGAAAATATGTCTTCGTGCTGTAAGGCAGGAGAGTATTATAATCAATATCGATGCTCTCCTAGCTCAACTAGCTCAGCTATACTCACGTTGAACAGTTTTGCAGAAGGCGGTGATGGTGGTGGTGCAGGTTCATGCTTTGAAGCTTTTTATCCTGATACGCAGCGTGTTGTTGCCTTGTCAACAGGATGGTTCAATGGAGGATCACGATGTGGAAAAACAATCATCATTAGTGGCAATGGTAAGACGACAACAGCACAGGTCGTTGATGAATGCGACTCCGTAAATGGATGTGATGCAGAACATGCGGGACAACCTCCGTGTCGTTACAATGTTGTTGATGGGTCTCCAGCTGTGTGGGCCGCACTAGGTATATCCGAGAACGATTCACGATATGGAGAGATGTCCATTTCATGGAGTGAATAAATGCTATAGATTAAAAAAAATATTCACGGAGACTTGTAGAGACTGAAATGTAGAGCTCACATCACTTTTTTAACTTCATTATACTCATACAAAATATGCAAATTGAAAAAACTATTGTACATCATATTTGTTGTCCACGATAGTCGATCGGTATTAAAATAATCTGTCTTATTTATTTCTGTATTTCTGGTAGAATTTTCTTTTTCTATTAGCGCTTTCTTTTTGTTTAGATTGTTGTTATTTGCTCATTATTTTCTTTTTTGTATTCTTTTTTTCTTAATTTAACTGTATTAACATTCTAACCATTGACTGAATGGCAAATAAACCTGTTATACAAACTATACATTAATATCTATAGCAAATAGTAACGAACTATTCTAAATCTGGATCAACTCAGAAACATTGAACTTGATTGTTTTTAAAGTAACAATTTGGTCAATTCATTCTGTTTATGATGATCATATTAAGACTGACAAGTCAATGCATCACTATCCATCATTATTGACATATTAAGTACAATTTTTTATTTGGACGAAAATCAAAACTTGTACTATGGAGAACATTGACAAAAGTATTCTAGTCATTCGAATTTCGACAACGGCTTTGGATATGTTCCAGAGCAGTCGAAGTCTTGTAGTTCATGGAGTGTAGTATTTTTTGCTGTTGATGACAAACTCGGAAGAAAGATATTTAGATAGTTGTTGACCGCGCCTCCTAAATTCTTTGTTGAAGGATGTCTCTAATGGACAGAAAAGAAGAAGGAAGCCGCACAACTTCGACTTAAAATTTGCGCTCACTATTCTCGTAGAAAATATGTGAGTCTCAAAAAAAAGCAAATCGAGATGAAAGAATAATTAAAACCCATTGAGCAGCCATATAAATCTTATTGTTGGTCAAATTTTTGGGCCTAATTATCTGGCGTATAATCACTCTGTGACTCGAAACAGTAAGCAAATCAATCTAATATATGCGAGTATCTGGTATGGATATTCTTGATGTTCTCATTATCGATACAGACTAAAGTGACTATAGTTATGATAGTGGATGTGAATGAAAAGAAAATGACCATTTTCGCTCATAAGGGTGTGAATATGAGTAAAGACAATTTCATATCCACATCCAGACGCACATCAAACACCCAAACTCACACGGGCATCCACAAGCACACCGAAGCTTACGAGACAATCGCCCAAAGTGATTAACCGCTTTTGAGCTCATACTTTAAACATAAGTAGGGCACTCCGTACTTGAGTAATTCTAAGAGAATTCTGCCGCATGCGCTCGTGGGACCAAGGTATAACCATTTTACTGGATTTTTGCCCTAGGATACTGGTTCACGTACAGAATTGAATCAATGGATTCCAACTTAAAATTTTGTCCACCAAGAAATCTTAGGACCACTAAAATACTCCGAAAGTTTTGGACAAAACGAAAGCACCCATGTTGAGATATTGAGTTTTCAAAAACTGCCTATTTCTCGGCATGAGTTAGTAATACGAAATCTATTGTAAAGCCAATATCTTAAGGAGAATGCATTCGTTTTGCCTAAAACTTTCAGAGTATTTTATTGGTCCTTAGACATCTTGATGGATAAAATTTTAAATTGAAATTCGTTGATTCAATTTTGTAGGTGAACCAGTGCCATAGGGCAAAAATCCAGTAAAACGATTATATCTCAGTCTCACACGTGCATAGCGTCAAGTTCTTTTAGATTTATTCTAGTGCCGGAGTTCCCTGCTTGTGCCTAAAGTATGAGCTCAAAAGCGGTTAATCACTTCGGGCGGTTTCTTCGTCAGTGCTAGAAAAAATTTAGCGCTTATTCAAAAAAGCAATTTAGTTACATATCAGGTAATTCGTTTTGTGCTCATTTTGAAACAAATCTCTTCAAGCACTTGATAATATTTTAACTTGTGGTTTTCACCTTGTGGTGAACATTTTTAGATGTTTGTTTCATTCGTCCACGTTAAACAACTATGAATCTCTTTGCCGTGCACTTTTCTCTTTTGGAAAATTATTTGATTGATTGGAATCATTGTATATTCGATGAATATTATATAACGTTTCTGTTAATTTGATGACATGACTTGGGCAAGCGTATCCTGTCATGAACAAAGTTAATCACTGTTCTGTTCGCATGATCAGAAAAAAATGATGAAAAATTTCGATTTCAAATTTGTTATTCACGGCTTCAATAAAATTAATCGACTCGTTAGGTATTTACTACTATTCGCACCAACAGTTGCTTAAATGTCTTTGTTATTGTATCAATGATTAGCTATTATGTTGAACACTGAGCGAGGCAAAAGCAAATATCTCATTCAAGTGGTTGTCATACTGTCGGAGAGAAGAAAGACCGAAACAAATATTCTTCACGATTTTGCGTTATCTTTTATGAGATATATTCTTATCTTTTTTTGTCTATTTGCATTTTTTTTATCTATTTCGACTTCACATCGTCAATAATGACGGTA